GTAACGCAATTTTGTGATAATGTTTTGTATAATGTTTTGAAGGAGAGTTAAATAACCACTACTTTAATTGGAAGAGGAAATGTCTTTGAATGAATTGTGATATAATAATTTCATTTAAGAGGAATTTAAACCATTTGGATTGGAATAGGAAGATTCTTCGATAAATATACGTATACTTAGGTTTTATTGCATAAAAATTAAAGATAGTACCATTTGGATTAAGTAAATAATAAAGATATTGTTGCTCAATACACTGAGAGAATGAATATAATGCTTGTGGTAATGCGTAATTAACAATCTTTATTACTATGTATTTAGTACATGACGGTGTTACTCCCTGAGAACTCACACAATGGCCGTCAACCCGACTACCACTCACTTCTTCATGCCTCATCACTTGGCGATGCTTCACTAAACTAATAACGTTATCGACATAGCAGACGCGAACTTAAAAAATAAATGAAACAATTCTCTACATGCCGCTCCCCCTTGAAAGAACATTTTTAATACAAATAATAATTAAAATATACAAAATAAAATATATAACATAAAATGCTAATAATAAAGTAGTCGTTACTTAGTTCTAGAGATATTAATTGGAGGTCAATTAAGTTGTATAAAGAGCGAGTAAACAATTAAATGATAAACTATATCTAATCGGAAAATCCCTTATTTTCAGATTCCCAGAGTACTATTAATAACCTATACTAATAATAAACAATATTTTAAAAAATTGGAAGTTAACGATAGAATTGTTAATCTTTAGGCAAGGCGCAAACCCTTTTTACCGCTCGCTTGAGCATTCCTGATGCCGTATGGATGGTTACCACTCGGATTATTCCGTCTTCTCCTTGCTGCATCTCCTCGATACGCCCTAATCTCCATTGTAATGGTGGCATATTATCTTCTATCAGTAGTACCAAGTCACCTTTTTCCACCTGATCATTTCCCTTTTGCCAACGGGTTCTAGTCTGCAGCTGGTGCAGATATTCTTTCTGCCATCTTTGCCAGAAGTGCTGACGTATTTTTTGAATATGCTTCCATCTAGTCAAATGGTTAGTTTGTGTCTCCAAGTAATTCCATTCGGCTATTCCTTGTAAAGGTGCTCCAATTAAAAAATGTGCTGGAGTGAGGGGGTTTAGGTCATTTGGATCCGCTGATAAGGCTGTTAAAGGCCTACTGTTTAATACACCCTCAATTTCTACTAATAGCGTATAGTATTCCTCATACGTAAAAATTAAATCCTTCATTGCGATCTTAAGATGTCTCTTTACACTCTTAACCGCCGCCTCCCACAGTCCACCAAAATGCGGCGAACGTGGTGGAATAAAATGCCACTGTATTTCTTGTGCGGCCAACTGCGATTCGATCTGATCCTTTTCTTTGCGTAGAAACTCATAGATTTCCTTCAACTCTCTTGCTGCACCCGCAAGGTTGGTGCCATTATCCGAATAGACCTGTGCGCACGTTCCCCGCCGGGTGCAAAAACGTCGAAATACTGACATAAAAGCTTCCATAGTCAGACTGCTTACCAGTTCGAGATGCACTACCTTTGTTTTGAAGCATACAAAAACGACTACATATGCTTTGGTGACAGGAATCCTGCCTCTTCGATTACTTTGTCTTAGGTTGAAGGGGCCTGCGTAATCTACTCCGCATACTATAAATGGCCTGCTGGCTGTTGTAACCCTGGATTCTGGAAGATCTGCCATTATTAATTCCGGTATGTTTGGACGATATCGAAAGCATGGAATGCATTTCCTACCCACCTTCCTCGTTTCTCTCCTACCTGATAGCGGCCAGTATCGTGTCCGCACAGCATTCAATAACTGTTGCGGCCCACAATGGTGTAACTTTTTGTGTTCTTGTGCTAACAGAATCTCCGTAATGTGGTGTCTGGTTGGTAGTACTATTGGGTACTTCTGATCCGCTGGGACGTCGGCTCGTTTTATTCTACCACCGACTCTGATTATGCCCTCCTCGTCTAAGAATGGGTTAAGAGCTGCGATTGGACTATTTGAATGCACTAGTTCCTGCCGTTTTAGATTATGTAACTCTCTAGGAAAGCATTCATGTTGAACCATGCGGCAAATAGTGGTTTCGGCTCTCCTTAGCTCTTCGGTTGATAGCGTTTTCGACCTGGGCTGTTCTGATAATCTAATTCTCATCCTTTGGCAATAGGCGATAATTCTTTTTAATTTATCAAATGATGAATATCTGTAGAATCTCCTGCGATTTTGCCACCGTGATTATCACCTTCTCTTGTGTCTCTGTAATCTCCGTTGCAGTGTAACTCGCGATGTTGAGCCACTGATCTCTAGAAGGAAGCCAGTGCGGCCCATACCACCATAACTCATCCTCAATCAGTTCCTTCACCGTTGTACCTCTGGATAGCACATCTGCTGGGTTCTGTGACGATTGTACATGCCTCCAGTGACATCCTGTTGTTAAGGCCTGTATCTCTGTTCGCATAATATGTCTTCAACTTATGTGGGGAAGTAGCTATCCAGCTAAGTGTAATCGTCGAGTCACTCCATAAATATGTGTCCTTTATTGACAGTTTTATTGCTTCAATTACTGTTGCGACTAATCGAGCCAATAGTAGAGCTGCACATAGCTCTAGCTTAGGCATGGACACTCTTTTCAATGGCGCTACCTTGGATTTTGAGCACATAAGGTAAGATTGATAGTTTCCCTGTTTAGTTTCATACACACAATAAATGCAAGCGCCATACGCCTTTTCTGAGGCGTCTCCAAAGCCATGAATGGTAATTGCTTGATTGAGATTCTGTGGATTAAAACATCTTCGTATCTGAAAACTATTAAGCTCTAATAATGAGTTATAATATTTTGACCAAGTCTCATAAAGCATACGCGGCACTCTCTCATCCCAACCTATGTTTAGTTTCCACAAGTCTTGCATGGTGATTTTGGCTGTAACAGTCACTGGACCAATTAACCCTAAAGGATCATAAATGCTTGCTATCTTTGATAGAATACTACGCTTAGTTGCCTGGTTATTTTCATTTAGCTTTACCGCGTACTGCAATGTATCTTCAGAGGAGTTCCAGAGCAAGCCTAATGTTTTTTGAGGCTGGTTGGCGTCCAAAACCAACAGATGCTCTTCCTCATATCATTGTGTCATTTCTTGCAATACTCTCGAATCACTAGCTCTCCACTTCCTGAGTGTAAACCCTGCGGCTCCCAGTAGTTCCGACAATTCTTTTCTTAACTCGATAGCCTGCTCTATGGTGGGGCTACCTGTTATCACATCATCCATATAGAAATCTTGTTCTAAGGCTTCCGCTGCTGCCGGTAGCGTGATTGCTTCGGGTTGAGTCGCCAGATGTCGCAGACAACGCATTGCCAAGTACGGTGCACACGTTGTTCCATATGTTACTGTATTCAGGGTGTAAGTTTAAAGAGCCTCTGCTGAATCTTGCCTCCAAACAATCCTTTGCAAATTTCGATCTTCCATTGCCACCCATATTTGCCTAAACATCATTTTGATGTCCGCTGTTATCACATGCTGGTGTGATCGGAATCTTATCATTATACTCCACAGATTTTGTTGCAAATTAGGTCCACTTAATAATTTTTGATTCAGCGATGTTCCTGTTGATGACTTCGACGAATCATCAAAAACGACCCTTAACCTTGTTGTTATGCTATCGTTCTTTATCACTGGATGATGAGGTAGGTAGAATATCTCCTTTACTGCTTTAGAATCTGATGCTGCAACTAATGACATGTGTCCTAGTTTCTCGTAATTTTCTAAAAACTGATGGTATTCTTCTCTTAATTGTGTCTGCTGATTGAGTCTTTGCTCTATTGCTAAAAATCTCGTGATCGCTATAACTTCTGAATCTCCTAGTATGATAGTGTCATCCGTAGGTAATTATACGATATATTTACCGTCTGTATCTCTCCTTACCGTCTGTAAGAAGAATTCTTCTGTCGCTTGATCTTGCGCTGAGTATCTATGCTCCGCCTTTCTTGGTTGTATTTCCTCTAGTTGCCAGAACTTTTCTAGCTGATGATTAAGATCATTACTAACGAGGTTACAGACTCGCGTAGTACTGTGTGCTCGTGTATCTACTAACTCTCCTCCTACTATCCATCCTAGTTGTGTCTCTTGCAGCCTAGGTAATATGTTACTTAACTCCCACTGCCTAGTGCCTAATATTTTCCAAAAAATACTGCTTCCCAATAGAATATCTATCTCTCCTGGAATCTGAAAACTGGGATCTGCCAAACTTAATTCTGAAGGAATATTCCAAGATTGCGTATCGACTTTAACCTGTGGAAGCTTAACTGTTATAGTAGGCATAACTAAACAATTTTCCACAGCCGTAAATTCGTTGTGCATTGATTTAATTTTTATTTTTACTGACTCCCTTGCTGTGACGCGCGTATGGCTAATGCCACTAATCGGAACAATATTCTCTGTAGTTCTTAAACCTAGTTTTTGTACAATATTCCTAGTTATAATATTGCTTTGGGATCCAGGATCTAACATAGCTCTGCAAACATTCGACCTGCCCTTCTCATCGCAGATATACACCTTAGCCGTTGCTATAAAAACTATTGAATCGGGCCCGTTGGTCGCATGCACGGTTATCCTTGTTTCCTTATCGGTAACAGCGCAATTTTGTACTGGACCTTTCGTCGGAACCATCTCACTAGAACTGGTCCCTTTTTCTGTGATCTTTAATGTCTGCCCTTGTGCTCGTCGATTTTCCAATGCTTCTTCCTTGTCTATATGTAACATAGTATTATGTTTCCTAGAACATAATCTACAAGAAGATGTCATACATGCTTGTTTAAAATGACCCTTACGCATGCAATTTATACATAACTGGCGCTTTCGTACTTCAGCTAGTTTATCCGACACCGATAATGCCTTAAATCTATCGCATTTTGAAATATGATGTGAATCATTGCAATATACACATTTAAATTTTGGCACGGCTGCCATGGTTACCTTTTTAGTTGAATTTTTTTGCATCATAGATTTTACCTGTTCCGTTTTGCTCTTCGTACCTTCCACTAATTCTAATGTGTGAGCTCTATCGGCCAAATACTCCATAAACGTTTCCAGTGTAGGCATAGTATCTGGTGCATTTTTCCTAACCTCGAATTCCCAATCCTTTCGAGTAGCATAATCCAATTTATCGATAAGTAAATAAATAAGGATGGTATCCCAATGAGTGACCGGCTGTTTTAGTACTTCCAAAGCTCTAACATGGGTACGCACCGCATCGATAAAACTTCTTAATGAAACATGATTGCTTTTACTTACTGGCTGTAACTCAAAAAGTTCTTTAATATGTTTATTTATAATTAGCTTTCTATTTTCATATCTCTCTGTAATTAAACGCCATGCTACAACATAATTATCATCGGTGGTTTCTAAGGTATGTATAACTTGTAAAACGTCTCCGAATAAAGAACTGCGTAAATATTGGAACTTCTGAATATTTGTTAACCTTGTATTAGCATGAATAACTGATATAAAAGTGTCTTTATACATAAGCCATTGATCGTAATTACCATTGAATTGTGGAAGTTGCAATGTTGGTAACTTAACATTAATATTATGGGTATTGTCAATTACCTGTTGCCCTGGCTGCGGCAATACCTGCACTGCTTGTCTCTCTCTTACCAATCGCTTCGCTATCGCCCAATGCTCAAAGTAAGCGTCTTCTACCGATTGCCGTTCTCTAGTCAATTCTGCATCCAACATCTGCAACTCCTCCTGGCTCGGTGCAGGATCCCGTGCTGCTAATGCTTCCAATTTAATTTCTGCTATAAGCGTTTGTGCTTCATTGTATGCGTTATATAAATCCTCGGTTCGCTGTATACGCTCTGGCAGCTGCTCTGTTCTCTCTTGGTTATGTTCTCGAACAAATCTAATAAAGGACGTAATTTGACCCTTTATATTTGTTCGCTTAGCTCTCAGTTTTGTCAGCGCTTCCATTTTGTCTTGTATGCTATGCCACGCCGTTACGATCCTCGTGGTACTAATGCTTCGTTTCCTTTCTTGATGACCAAAAAATCGCTCGAACTATTTTCCGAGCATCCGGCTCGAAGGACCAATGTTGCTCAATACACTGAGCGAATGAATATAATGCTTGTGGTAATGCGTAATTAACAATCTTTATTACTATGTATTTAGTACATGACGGTGTTACTCCCTGAGAACTCACACATAATGGCCGTCAACCCGACTACCACTCACTTCTTCATGCAACGCCCTCATCACTTGGCGATGCTTCACTAAACTAATAACGTTATCGACATAGCAGACGCGAACTTAAGAAATAAATGAAACAATTCTCTACAGATATTATCACTTGAGTTTTACTTTTCATTTTGATAGTAGAATTTAACTTGGCGCCACAGTTGTTGATATCAAATCATTCGTACAAATAATACATTAGATTAATATTCATTATTTGTTTAATTTGGCATGGTATAAAGAAGTGGGATTTAACTTGGCGCCAGTTCTTGATATCAAATCTTTTATAGGAATGATACATATCATTAAAGTTAATATTATTTATTTAATTTGGTATTCGAATTACATGGAATTTAACTTGGCGGCAATTGTTGATATCAAATCTTTTTTACGAATAATACATAAAATTTTGATAAAATTTTGATGAATTTAGCTTGGCGCCAATTTTGTTGATATCGATTCTTTTATACGAATGATACATATCATTAGAGTTAAATAAATTAAGAAAAACATTAAAGTTACTATTATTTTTTTTAGGAGGAATAATATGGTCAAATTTAACTTGGCGCCAGTTGTTGATATCAAATCTTTTATACGAATGATACATTTCATTAGTTCTACTAAATAGCAAACGTGATTAGTTATCAGTTTCACGGCCGATTAAGTGAAACTGGCCCAAATGGTGATTCTTTACGAGAAGCACACACGCTTAACATTTTTTTTTATCTTTTTTTAAAAAGGTAAGTTTGTATACGATTAAATAGTCTTTCATACAAATGATACATATATCATCAGATTTAGTAAATTTTGTGATATAATAATTTTCATGTAATAATTTTTGAAGGGGAATAAAGCCATTATATCTTGGGTTGGAATGTATCATATACACAGAATTTCATCAAACAGCAAATGCAATTAGTCATCAGTTCCACGGCCGATTACCATAAGTAATATTTTATTCCTCCCGCAAATTATATAATTATTATTATGTAAGATACTTTTTTTACGAAATTCATTTTTAGATATTATTGAAAATGGGACTCGTCGACTTTATCTCAACTGACTAGGCTATTAAAAACTTTGTTTTTGAAATTTAACTTGGCGCCAGTTCTTGATATCAAATCTTTTATAGGAATGATACATATCATTAATAATTATTACAGTAATATGAATTTAACTTGGCCATAATTGTTGATATCAAATCTTTTATACAGATGATACATATATTTTGTGATATGATTTTCATGTAATAAATTTTGAAGGGGATTTTGAAGCCATTATAACTCGGGTTGGAATGTATCATATACAAAGAATTTCATCAAACAGCAAACGCAATTAGTCATCAGTTCCGCGGCCGATTACCATAAGTAACGACGTTGGTGAAACCGGCCCAAATGGTGGTTTCCACACGAGAAGCACGCACGCTTAGCGCTTTCTTTACCTTTTTTTAAAAAGGTAAGTTCGTATATGGTTAAAGTTACTATTCCTCAATTAAAAAATCCCACCACCACCCCCATCGTCTTATACTAATAAAATTTAACTTGATAGAATTTATAAAATACTTCGGTTTTATTTTTTATTTTGTGATAGTAGAATTTAACTTGGCGCCAGTTTTTGATATCATATCAAGACGATGGTCTTCTATATTTTGTATACGTTATGCATAAATTTTCTTTGCTAAATATATGCAAATATTGCTTGGAATATATAAATTATACCTTTTTTGTATAGCTCTGGTTCAACGTTCTGCTGTTGTATGACCTTCCAAATTCATGATCCGACACTGAACGATTAACATTTGTCATTATCTCACGATATTCGGCTATTTTTTGTATACTACTATACCTCTATGTGCTCTTAATTAAAATAATATCAGCAACCAATTGATAAGATCTTTTTATTCCTCTAACTTATTTGTAATCTAAGGCCCGGTTGCACCAACGTTATTTTAATTTTAAGCAAGGCTTAAAACTCTCTTTGTCCCTGTCACTTTTCGGTTTTAAAACAAGATAGAGAGAGATTTAAGTTTCGCTTAAAATCAAAGTAACGTTGGTGCAACCGGCCTAAGAGGAACAAGGGCCTCTAGTCCATTTCTCATTATTTACGGCTTCTAACCAGGATCTGAAAAGAATAATTTTATGCTTGAAATTTTATGCTGCGTTCAACTAATAATACAAGTACATTTTATTTACAGTACAATCCTGTAAAGAAGAAAATTAACATTTGATAGAATAGTACTTTTCGAGAAAACCAATGGTTGTCAACTTTAACGCTTAATATCTCGATTCACGAGGCAAAGCGTACACTTTTTTTCTGCCAGATTCTTTCGTTTCATGCAAAAACGCGTCGAATTAAGCTGTTGTACACCAATCGCCCTAGACCGCCGACTGATGGCATTGATCACGACACTCATTTCTCCGACGGCAAACAAAATCCTAGACACTCATTTCCTCGAACACCTAGACACCCACTTTCTCGACGGCGAATGCAGACAGTACTTAGACACCCAGGCGGCGAACATCTAGACACCCATTTCCTCGACGGCAATTTCCTCGACGAAGAACATAAGAAATACAAATAAACTCTCGAGAATGTCAAAATATAAGCAGATAACAGGGTAATGAGAGTTTTTTCGCGGTTAGTCGTGCGAGCCAATTATTTATTAAATACGAAAAAATCAGACGTTTTGGCTTACATTCGAGCCATCCTCAGTGTATCTGATCCATATACAATCAAAATTCTTAGCTGGTTTGATAGGAGAGTGCCCAATCATTCCGCTTCATTTATAAAGACACCAGGTTAACAGATCAGGCGACCAAATAAATTGAAGATAAAAGTCTTCAATCTGACACCGAATTTTTGCATCACGCGTATATTTCGATTCTTGACAATTTACATTAATTTCAATGATATGTTGCACCAGGTCGTATTTCTATGGTTGTAATGTTCGGATGTATCGTCTTTGTTTTTTATTGTTTATGCTCATAGCTACATGAAAACCGACACTTAAGTTAAATCTTTGACAGTTACTCATTTGATTGCTAACTGTTGTCTTGTTGACATGCACAAGTTATTACTAAGTATGGATGCGGATATACAGCGAAATTAATTTAATTTTTAATTGATTATGTTCATGGTTTGATGCGTGAGTGATCTGTCTCTCTTTCTAAAGTTTTCATTTATTTTACATTCTTCCTTAATAGCTTAATAATGGTTGGATTATTTATATAGAATTCATCTTCAATTTATTTGGTCGCCTGATCTGTTAACCTGGTGTCTTTATAAATGAAGCGGAATGATTGGGCACTCTCCTATCAAATCAGCTAAGAATTTTGATTGTATATGGATCAGATACACTGAGGATGGCTCGAATGTAAGCCGAAACGTCTGATTTTTTCGTATTTAATAAATCATTTGCTCGCACGACTTACCGCGAAAAAACTCTCATTAGCCTGTTCTCTATTTATATTTCAACAATTGATTTAGTAAATCGATTGTTCTGTTAACAATTATATATTCAAACTTAATTCCAAATAAGTAATAAGGCTTTGATGAATAAAAATTTAAAACTAACAGATTAATAGCGTTTTTTATTGGCAGAACTAGTGTGCACTCAGTGCACATTAAAGCCGTTGTACAAAAATCGACGTAAAGATATACGTTTAATAAAAATATATAAACGAATTAAACCGTGAAATATTCGATATATTTTATTGTGATATTTGATAAAATAAATTTTGGTATAAAATGAATGTATAAAATAAATGTATAAAATAAATGTATAAAATACATTTTATCAGTTGAGATATCTCATTTTTATATTTAGATTAGAATAGTGTACAACAGCTTTAATGTGCACTAGTTTTGCCAATGAAAAACGCTGTAAGGGCTTGAGAGTCAAGCTGGAAATTTATGCTGACATTAATAATTTAATATCTCACATTTTCAAACATAGGCTGAGAAAAAAATTTATTAAATTTTATTGAATATTTCTTTGAATAATCCTAGCGGAATATTTACTCACGGTAAATGAATATTTAGATAAATAAAAAAAATGATAAACTAATAGTTCTTGTATTTAATAAATATGTTTACATTTAGTAAATATTCCGTTAGGACTATTAAAAAAAAAATTTATTAAAATTTAATAATTTTTTTGTCAGTATACGTTTCAACCTTTTATAACAATAGGCCACTTTCAGTGTTATAAGAATTTATAATATTATTGAAACATAAACCGAAACGCACTCATTTGAATTAAATGTTTTGTGAAAGATGTAAAAAAAAATTGTCATGTTAGTACGCACCAGAGTTGTTCATATTATCAATTAAAGTTTTTAAAATTAATAATTAATGAAGACAAAAAGAATTAAAAGTCATTTAATTGAAGGGAGGGCTCCGTTTGACCAAAATCCTGATTGCCTACAGTTTCGTTTGCACACAGCGTATTGCACACAGGACATTACTGTACACAGCGTATTGTACACACGACATTATTGCACACAGCGCATTGCACACACGACATTATTGTACACAGCGCATTGCACACACGACATTATTGCACACAACGTTTTGCACACAGGATATTATTGCACACAGCACATTGCGCACACGGCATTATTGTACACAGCGTATTGCACACACGACAATATTGTACATGGCGTTTTGCGCACACGACATTATTGTACACAGCACATTGCACACACGACATTATTGTACACCACAGATTGCACATACGA